CATATAGACTTGGAGGTCTGCTTTCTGGGGAAAATTGACATAAAAACTGCAAAAAAGCAATTCTCTCTTTAAATGGTAAGTGCCAAATGTCCTACCTCTGCACCATGCATATATCAATCTAAAACCACAAAAAATTTTGAAGGAAAAAACACAATGATGACAAAATTTGTAGTAGTAAGTATGCTTAAGTAAATAGCTCAAAACAAATTACTTTGAAACAAATGCTTTGTCTTCTAACCACTAATTTTATTCAGTATCACATTAAAAAGAGGTTATAATATTTTAAGATATGAAAATTTTAGCATTAACCCAGGACCAAAATGAATAAGAAAATAATGAAGCATCAGGTGTTGTGATACCACAGAATGACTGCATCCCATATCATTGTACCAGTTCAAGTCCTGGCTACTCTTACTTCTGTTCCAACCTTCTGATAATGTATCCTAGAAGATAGCTAATGATGAATTGGGGTGAACCAACAGATGAAAGATCTCCCCATCACTATCATCTCTAATTCTATTTCCACTTCTGTCTCTTTCACATAGACTAAATAAACATTTTGAAACCAGCTAAAAACGGAAAGAACTGAGTTTGCATATATGAAGAAAATCTTTACATTTTCTTTAGGGATCTTCTGCTTGAAATCGCAATTCTAAAGAATCTGCTATTTTAAATCAATGATAAAACTCCTCTTTCTTGGCTCAGAGATCTTTGTTTTTACTGAGCCTAGAGTGAAAGACTCACTTGCAAACTGTCCAGGAAGAAGGATTTAGAAATCTTGCATTTTGAGCACCTACATCTGCTAAGTAGTTCAGAGACACTATGCCCCCTGGTGGATTATTCCAGGGTGAGTTTTAATGAAACAGGCAGAAGCTTCATTGTCCACAGCCTTCGCCTTCAGCCTCTTGTTTTCTGAAAACTGTAGTAATTGCCCCAGTGTAAAGCATTTGTCCCCACCAACTCAACATTGATTTGGATCAACAGCTTCCTTTGATAAAAAGTAAATAATGTTGGCTACCTAATCAGCCCTTCATAGCTAAAATAAGAATGAGACATATCACTATTGGGTATCATAACTATATAAAGATCACAAAAATTAATAAATAAAATAAAGCTGAGAAGTAGAAAATGAGAAGATGTGAATGTGGCCAGGGACTTCAAACACTGATAGGTAGCCAGAAATATCTAGACAAGGAAGAGGAAGGGGAAAGGAGTTTAGAAGTAAATAAATAGGTTACATAGGAAACTAATATCTGGCAATTTCTTCCTAGCTAATAGAACCTCTGCAAACCATGTCTTGTGTTCCCTTTTGTCCTTTGGGTTGTATACCAATCAGCCTAGGGAAATAATTGTAAAAGGCTATAATCCTCAGTCACTTAGTCTCTCCCATTTAGGTTAGTTTAACCTTTTCTAGTACAATCTTCCAAATAGCCTGCTTTTTTTCTATGTTATAGGTATTCTATATTCATAAAGGAGGCAAAAGAAAGTAATGGCTAAGATTAAGTATCACCTACCTTCAAATAGTGCCATCTTGATAAGTGCTTTACATGTATGACTATAAGTGCTGAGGGGTCTATGCAACAACTTATAAGTAGATGGTACTTTCTGACCTCCAAGTACACTGCACTCGCTACTGCAGTGGTCTTCAGATAGGTTGTTCTGATTTTCTCAGATCTTCCTAAGTCTGCTTCTAACCAACTTTCTCCTTTTCCTCATTTCTTATGTTAAACATCATACAGGACCTTGGAATCTCACTACCTAGCCTGGAAACTAAATGTTCCCTCTAAATGATGATCTTAACTTCTTTCTACAGATACAGACAAAGTCCCCCAAATCATGGCTGTATATATCAGTGTTCCAGAGTGTCATTCATCATCAGTCATTCTCCCATGAAGGTTCAAACTCCTAAACACAGCCCCAGAATCCAAGGAACCAAGCTTTTCACAAAAATAAAACTATCATCCAATGATTTTTAGAACACAAAAAGGACTTTTATTTAATTTTTTCCAAAATTTCATTTCCAATTATACATTTGCTGAAAGGTGGAATATCAAAGGCGATTTCCAGTAACATCAGCTCCACCAAATATGCATAATTTGAGATTTACTGCTTGAGTAAATTATAGTTCTCTCAGGATATCCTGGTTAAAGAAGTAAAAACTAAGATAATAGAGAGGGAAAGTGAAGGATATTGTTCTGTAGGAAATTTGTTGAATTCAATAAACATTCATTCATGGGTGCAGTGTCCACTTTTAAAAAGGAAACTCTAAAATTCCTAAAAACACAAGACAATATTGGTATTTTTGGATGAGTATACATTCATATATTTCTGTGAAATTTTGTGCAATTAAACAATATGAAAATGTTATTTGTTACCACAGCCAATGAAAATATGTTTTCATTTCTATGTAAGTTAAACATTTCCATCTCTCATTTTATTTTTTGCAAAAAAAGCCATGTGCCTAGTTTATGAAACAAACTATGCTATCAGCAGCAGTAACTGAAAAGGAGCTTAAGAGCCTTAACTGCATACCCCTGGGATGAACAATATTCTTTGCATAATCATGTGCAATATGGATGATGATTCTAGATCTCTTATAACTACAAGAGTTTGCAAGCTTCTATTTCATACAATATGCCCCAAATCCAGTCAATTTAGCCAAATAATCAAGCGATAGTTTAGGTGGGTAATTTACAACAGGGAAAACACCCAATTTGGCTAAATTGACTGTGGTTTGTTCATATGAAGACACAGTCACTGTAAGTGCCTTATAAAGAAATCATTTGCAAGAGACTATTTGTTTCAATTAATTTTTTCTCCTAAGGTTCTGAGAAGTTGACTTACTTGCCTTCTAGGCCCAAAGAAAACACAGCTGCATAAACAGAAGACCAACGTATTAACAACATAGAAAACAAAGACCATGCCATATGCACATTCCTCCATGGGAGAAATGTCACAAAAAGCAAACTTAGAAATCTGAGGATCCAACAGAAGTGTAGGATTATCTAATGCCTAAAATTTTATCTTACTCTGGTGACAGGTGTAAATGCTGACCAAAATTCCACACCCCCCCCCCTTTTTTTTACACTGAGCTTAAATGTGAACTTTTGAATAGTATATTTTCAAGAGTCTTTACCCCAGAGTGAATGTCTGCATAGTAGGCAAGCAGTGTACTTCAGCTCAATATGTCTATTGTCTGACAGTCTGGACTGAAGAGCTTCAAGCAGGGAGTGAATCCATTTTGCAAAGGCAACTTAGATCTGCAGACAAAAGATTTGTACTGCAGAGAGCCCTCTGAGAAGAGGAGAATGAATCTTCTTTGGCATATTAAATGCTCCACATACACATTTTTTGGTGCATATGATCATTTAGAGCTACTCATTTTTACTAACATAATGCATTTTTAAAAACCTTTTAGTGTGAGATTTTACCCTGTATTGGGGACACTCAGAGTAAACTTGAAATAACAACTAAGTAGTATCGAAATTTGAAGAGATTGGTAAATTTAAAGTATTCCGGATATTATATCTATGTCAAATCAGTGACAAATTTCCAAGATTAAAGTTAGCCAGTTTTCAGATTGTTTGGTAAGTCTGAGGTGTGGTTCTGTACATTGTGCAGAAAACAGGCTCAATTTAGCTTTTTCAAAATTCTTGTGTGCCATTTTCTAATAATCTTTGTTATTGCCCAACTTCAGTATTAAAGAAAAGAGGTGGGTATTTTGCCTCCTCTGTATTTTTTTTTTATGGGGAATTTTAGGACTCTTACTGCATCTAGAAGATTTCTGGAGAAGGCATTTCATTCTCTTGGTTACTTTCTATGTTAGCACACAAATGAATCACAGATGGGAAGGAGAGTGCAAATGACTATCAGAAAAAAGTCTCATGCATTTCACAATATTTTTTACAAGTCAAAATATACATCCTCCAATTGCCCTCCTCCATTCTTTAATTGCATAAGTACCATTCCTGTTTCATCAGTCTCCTTCACATATCACTGAATTGGGTTAGGAATAAAGATACCTTTCTTGTTAAGAAATATATACACTTAACAGTAATCGGTTTAGCCAATTGCATTAATAAGAAACATAGCAGCAGTTTGGGCTGAGTCACCCATCATACCCTCCATTTATGGGGATCTAAATGTATAAAATGACAGGGACATGAAATTAGGAGGAAAAGGAAAGAAATCTGCAGACTTTGGCACTAGCACACAAAATGTTTTGTTTGAGTTGTTGGGGCTGGAGTTTGACAAATGCTAAACAGGAATTTCAAAATTACAAATCTGCAGAAAACAAACAATCCTAAGTGTATAGTCTCAGTTTAATGCTCATCCTGTCCCATCCCCACCCTCCCACCCCTATAGACTTCAATTATAATAAAAATAGAGATCTTAGCATTGGAATTTTGTTGTTAACTCTTCGAGGTTCCTCTGTGCCAACCAAGCCACACATAGGGTTTGAAGCACCAAATCCACAAGTTTCTCCAACCAAGTTTAAAGAAGCAAAAACTGAAGACTGGAGGATGTCAAAGCAACTGTTCTTAAATTAAGCCGAAACACGGAGTTTTCCCCAAAACACAGGGTATTAAGCGTCTAGTTCAAGTACTGCCAGGCTGTATGAAGATCTGTCTCGAGCTTCAAAGAACAACTACAAGTACCACTGAATTCTAGAGGGCACCATCCAGGATACCAAAGCAGGGCAGGGACCCCTTTTGTATCACCAATTTTTAAAAGTTGTAGCCCCCTCTGTGATTGGCTGCCGCAGGATCTGGCTGAGCCCATTGTTTGAGAGGAGGAAGCTCTACATTTCCTTTGAAAAGTTCTCCTTTCAGCGCTCTGGGGCTGGGCTATCCTGGCTTCCCGGGATCCATTGCCCTTGCCCGGAAGAGGACGCCTCGCTCCGACCCAGTAACAGCGAAAGAAGATTCGACCTACCTGTGGAACCAGACCGAACTTGGTCCCCCAAAGGTCGCTTAGGCGACCCCATTACAATTGGCAAGTCAGCTTGTGCACTTAAAGCGTATCAATTTATGGAACGCTTGTTTAAAGTCCTCATTGGACATGGTATAGATGATGGGGTTGATGAGCGAATTGACATAGCCCAGCCACGTGAAAAAGTCAAAGATGGCCTGGTGGAACCAGCAGGCATCCTTGCAGATAGGCATCACCAAGGAGATGATGAAGAAGGGCAGCCAACACACAATAAACACACCCAGAATGATCCCTAGGGTTTTGGTGGCTTTGCGCTCCCTAGCGGCCATGAGTTTCTTCTTTTCCAGCAGGGCATCGGAGACTCGCACTTTGACTTGGTTTACATACACTGGAGAGCCGGATTCGCTGGGCACGTCGGGCGCCCGAGAGTTAATTGAAGTGACTGAGGTCGTGGACCCAGGGGAATCAGTTATCAGCTGGGCTCTGGTCAGGCGCTTGCCGGTCCTGTTGGGCGTCTGTTTCAAAATCCGGGAGCGGGCTTCCACGTAGATTCGACCATAGAGGGCGATGAGGAGCAGGGTGGGTAAATAGAAAGCGCCCACCGTGGAGTAGACAGTGTAGAGAACGTGATCGGTGTTCACCAAACACTCGGACACCTCTTCCTCGGCCTTGGCCTGACGCCAGAAGAAGGGCGGCAGAGAGATACAGATGGAGAACACCCACACCAGCGCGATCATGATCGCCGCCCTCTTGGGAGTCCGTTTAGCCGAGTACTCCACGGCATCCGTGATGGCCCAGTAGCGGTCCAGGGCGATGACACACAGGTGCATGATGGAAGCGGTGCAACAGGTGATATCCGACGACAGCCAGAGGTCGCAAACCACCTGGCCCAGAGTCCAGCGGCCGGTGACCGTGTACATGGTGCTGATGGGCATTACCAAGATGGACACGAGCAAGTCGGTGACCGCCAGGGAGGCGATCAGGTAATTAGCCGGGGTGTGCAGCTTCCGGGTGCGGTACACGGTGGCGACCACAAAGGCGTTGGAGAGCGTGGTGGCCAAGGTGAAGAGCGCCAGCAGCAAAACCAGCAGTACTTTCCAGGGCAGGGCGATGGAGTCCTGGTAAATGTAGCCCTCAGCGCTGCAGTTGTGGGAGTGAGCCGCGGAGAGGTTGGCTTGAGGAACTGCGATCTGGGAGCCCGCAAGCGGTGGGGCGCACCGAGCGCTGGGTTCCTCCATGGCTCTCCTCGCCCCAGCTCCGGAGCGCAGCTCTTAGGCATGGAGCGGACGACGGAGAGAGCAGAGGGCGGAAGGACCATGGAGACCACAGGTTTGTCTCTCCGTGCTAGTCAGTTCCGTGGGTTCCTCAATTGCTCCTGCGCCAGGTTTCCACCTGAAACCGGAGGTCACGGGCGCGGCAGCCAAAGAAGGCGGGCGAGTCCTCTGCACTTCCAGTGCGCCTGGCGCTGCAGCCGCGTCTCAGGTCGCTCAGTTCCACGCCCCGTCCTGGCCCTGGGTTGCTAAGGACTGTCCCACCCAGCCCAGCTCCTCTAGGTTCCGGCCACTGCTCTCTGGAGATGTCAAATTAGGAGAGCGAAGTATTGCTCCAGACCAAGTTGGGGGGTGGAGAGGCAGAGTCTCTTACCCCAGTCGCTCGGGGCTGAGCGTCTCCTAACCCGGGCGCTCCAGGCTCTGCAGACCCCGCCCGCAAGAGTTTCCCAGCGGCGGATGCCAAAGATTGGAGGTCCTCGAGGAGCCCTGGTCTTGCATTCCCGCCCCCAAACCCGCAAGCCCCGAGCTGGGACACTTTCCTGCGGCGGCGGTGACCGCCTGAGCTGGGTGGGGTGTTGTCTGGGAGCCGCGCTGCCTCGCACGCTGGAGCTGTGCCCTCCCTCTCTTTACACGCACTGGCCACTCCAGCGAGCTGCCCCGCGGAGACCAGGTCGCAAGAGGGAGGACTTGGAGGCTAGAGCTGCGGCTGGTAGCGCCGCGCCGCCGCCGCCGCCGTCGCCACCTGGTTTCCTCTGGCACCGCTGGGAGCCATCCCGCTGGGCGCGTGGGTCTGGGGGGACCTGGTGCGGCAAGCGGGGAAGGGGCAGGTGACTGAGGGAGCGGCAGGGACCCGGCGTGCGCCAGCCCGGGAGGAGCTAGTGAACCGCGGAGCCGACGGGCTGCTTTTATAGAGACCGGGTCAGATCCGCCAGAGCCGTGCAACTCGTGCGGCGCGGCGAGTGCAGACGCCCGCTCCCCATCACCTGGCCTTTTTCTCTCTCCCTCCCTCCTCTCCTCCCGCCCCGTTCCCTTCCCGGCCAAGGAAGCACCCGCCGGGTCCTACCGCCTTCTCTCCCCGTTTCCCAGCCCCTTGTCCCTCTCTGGACCCGAACACCCTGGAACAGCAGTTGTAGCTGGCGATGGCAATGGAGTCGTCCTGTTCTTGCCAATGCGGGCTTCGGAGTTGGCTAGCGCTCCCGCATTCAGACCCCCGCCTTTAGCCCAGGTCTGAGGCTCAGCCCAGGCGTCCCATCCTAGCTTCTGCTCACCACCCACCCCCTAGGGAGGCCAGTACCAGGTAGTGGAGCAAGCCCCAGTGCCTGAGCTCTCTACTCCGGAATCTTATCCAGCCCCGAGGGCCACACCCAGGTTAAGAAGGAGGCGCCAGTTAAGATCGCCTTAGAAGGAAATGGCCAATATGTGCATCTTCTACTTCAAGTCATCCTTAATCCTTGGTTCAATTAAAAAACCCTAGCTGTTCGTGTATAGTTTTAGAAATGTGTGCTTTTATTTCAACCCCGCCCCTTAACTCTGAGGGGGTGGGAAGAGGAAAAGCTATTTGCACAAATGTCAAAGAATCAGACAGAGCAAACTCTATAGGAAATCAGACCTTCTGCTCCACCCTCGCGCTCCAGCTACTCAGCAGTTCCGTGCCTCTGGGAAACAGTTCCAGTTCCCAGGGAGCGCATTCCTTCTCATTGCGTGCAAAGGAGTGTGTCAGAATTTAAGAGAAAAAGAAAAAGAAACAAACGGGCACTGGCGCTGTCACCATCAGCATCAGTGGTGTGTCTTCTTTGCCCAGCACAAATGCATCAGGATGTCCACCATAATCTGCAGCAAACGCTACTGGTACCCATGCTCCAGGACTCTGAGCAAATCTCCTGTCTTCAGCTTCTCCTCCAACCCTAACAGAAACAAATGTAGAGTGGAAATACAAATCGTATAGTTTAAAGGAAAAAAAAAAAAACACTCAGAATGGACAACGTGGTCCCCACTATGAATTTCTAGAGCCTGGGTGGGTATTCCTCAGTAGAATGTGTAAATAGAAACTGCATGGTAATTTAATCTTTGAGGCTAAGGGCAAAAATATTTTAAGGATAATCCATTTCAAAGCCAAAGATTATCTGAGCCATGCACCCACTTTTAGAGGAAGAGTACCTGATATCCTTTGAAAGGAGGCCGTTTCTCCCCGGATGACACAGCTCAAAACTCAAATTCTCTTAATTCATGATTCTCAGGTAAAATCCGAAGTTCCTGATCTATGTTGGGTATTTTCTAGGGACTTAGAGTATGGAGGCCAATTGGGATGGGAGACCCAGCCTTACTTTTCAAGCAGTTTACGTTCTGAAGGGGCAGGTAGACAATGAACACACAAGCAAGTAAATAATGAATATGTTTTCATAGGGCTTTAGGAGTTAGGAAACCAAATCACATTGGTACACTAAGAGCAAGGGCATGCCTTTAACTAGTAACAGCTCTCTAAAGAAGTCCTCCGGATGTGTTCTGAGCCACAGCAGCCAACCAGAGGATCAGAGCACAACCTCTCCCTCTCCCCTCCCAGCCCCCCCCCCCCCCCCGCACTTCTCTGGAAAACTTAAGCCCAATTTTAGCACATTTTAAGGGACCCTCCCCATTCTCCCACTCCAGGAATCTACAGCAGCCACCCAGCTAGAGACTTAATTATTTTGCAAACTGCGGTGCTCACCACAAAACTACAGAAAAGGAAGGGAAAGCAAAGCAGGCAAGATTAAACCGCTAGGTGGGGGCGTTGGCCTGGACGCAACAAAAGTGTGGTTGCAGGTGGCTGGTGTGCCAGGAAACTCTTTTCCTGCTGCCTTGGGGAAACTAGCAATGATTAGAGAAAACTGATGATGGAGTGGAAAACGAGGAGGAACGTTACCAGGTGCGGACAGTCTTTCCTCTTTTTATTTCGGCTGCAGGAACACGCAAAGAAGAAAGCAACTTGCTCCCGGTGAGGTTTGGCTTCAGCGGGGTGGGGACCCGTGGCTTGCGCCAGCTGTGCTTCAGACTCCCCAGACCCTGAGCAGAATCTGCCACTTCTGGGAGGAATTTGCTGTTACCCTCTTAAATTAAGGGTTGTGAGGACACACCCAGTCAAGCATGCAGGATTGTGGCAGAGTTCGGAGGAGCCACTACATTTCCTTAAGCCTGCTTCACGTTCCACTCATGCCTTTAGCACTTCAAAACACGTAAAATGTGGGGGGTGGAGGGAAGTTGCACACGGGTGCATGCGTGTGAAGCATTCCACTAGGCAGGGGATTGTTAAAGTCACCTCTGCCAGCTTCGCCCAGAGGAGGACAGCCCATGAGCACAGTCTCTGCTGGGACACTGCAGTCCCCAGTAGCTCTGGAAAACACCTCCCTCAAAGTGTGCAGAAATTCAGGGGACACTGCGTCCATTCAAGGGGCAAGGAAGGAACCAAACAGGTATATACCAGAGTGCAGCAAAAGTGACCACCAGACGCTACAACTACACATATAAAATTCTCTCCTTTTCAGTTCAACACCAGTGGGTTTTCTGCAGAAACTGAATATGCAGAGGATAATTTTGAAAGGGCCATGAAGCCTGTCATTTGACACCAAGCCAAATACCATAATGAGCTGGCTGCCTAGGAGGAGCCTGGAAAGGCACTTCTCAGAGGAACCTCCTGTGTTCTAGCAGAATGTGGTGATGCTCGAGGTGCTGAAAAATTCCAGGCGCAGGCTTGGAAGTCCAGTGCAGAGAACTGGCCAGACAGGGAGAGGAATTTCCCCCTCTCCCAGACATACCCACAAAACACTCTCCACAAGATACACTGGACAAAACTTGCTGCAGCTCAACCCTCTGCCTTGGCTAGCCCTCTTCATGGGGGAGGCACCCTTCTTGCCTGGGGCATCTGTTTCTGATCTCAGCATCCCTAGAATCATCCTTCTAGAAAGTACCTCATAAAAGATGGCCCTGCCCAGAAGCACAGAAACTCCTGATTTTGTCTTTGCTGAATGAATGAATAAACAAACACTAAAGCATTCATACTCCTGTCATGTCATTCCTTCATCCACCATCCCTATCATTTGAAAAGTCAACAAGTAGTCTCTATCCACAAAATGTGGAGAACTTGCCAGCCACCTCTTTCAAGCCTGCTTCCTCAATTTTCCACTGTCTTTGTGTTGATTCCCAGCTAGAAAATAGCCAGCAGGAGAACCCAGCCCTGAATAACATCCTGCTATGTGACAGGTTCCTAATATACTTCCTCCGGTAACTATTTCTTAATAAATTTAGTGGTAGGAATAAAAGTATTAGGTCTACCAGTACCTTGCTTCTTAACTATCTTTTGTGTTTTCCTCAATGAAACTCTGGAAATATTCACATAAATGAACATATACATGCATACATATATATGAAGCTTATGAAAATTCTGGAGGTTTCCAAATCCTATGAGGCCAGATCATTCTTCATATTCTTTGAACCCACTTATACCTCTGACCTTGATACTTCTGTCATGTTGTTTAAGTATTATTTGTTTTATCAGAAATTTTTAAGCCTTACCAAATAATAAGGGTATGTACTGTTCTCTAAATACTAAACTGCTTTAAACTAATCCCTGAGAATTAGTAACTCTATTACGTGGTTATGCATACAACTATTACATAAACCACATTTGTATTTAAGGAAGAAAGTAAGAAAAAAGCAAATATCTAACTTAAACATTTTAAAATAATTGTCTCTAAAATAATACAACTTTGCTACTCTAAAGAAATACTTGACATGAATAGATTACTGCTAACTCAAAGCCAGTCCCAACTAGGAGAACTAACTCCCAATTAATGTCTAAGGACCTAGTTTCTTAGAAGGAAATTGCTAACTTAAAACTATTGGTGAGGCCGGTGCTGCGGCTCACTTGGCTAATCCTCCGCCTGCGGCACCGGCACCCCAGGTTCTAGCCCCGGTTGGGGCCCTGGTTCTGTCCC